GGAGGTGTGACTCTGTTTGTCTTTTTCATTGGCCACAGACACAATCAGCGAGCCTTGGGCTGGGTGGGTATAGAGGTATTCAAAGTACTTCTTTTCAGCCCTTTTGGAGGTGTGAGGGATGGAAGAAGGGGTTTGCCATAGGCCCTTGGCAATTTTAAGAACTCTTTCATGTACGGGTAGGGCAACCCAGGTAGGCACAGAGGCGGAGAGGACATTAAAGAATGTATCCTCCTGCTCCATCATCTCCTGCACCTCCAGGCCAAAATCCTCAGCCACGTGCCAAAGTAGAGCCTCATGTTCCTTGAAGTCGTCCAGCACGCTAGCCCTCAAAGGCCCAACAACCACCTTGTCCATTGATGATGAGGAAGATTGGACTGCTGGAGGGCATCCCGGGTGTTCTACCACCTCCAGAGACGGAGACTTAGGAATGGACACAGACTCCTTCGCCCGACCTCTGAACAAGTCCCCGGCACCAAGCCCGGTGCCATCGTTGCCGCCGAACGATGCTCCGAAGCGGCAACCAAAGAGCGCTGCGAAGGGGGCATCATCATCACCAGTACTCCCCATGCGCTCCAATAAGGCCACTGTGCTGGCATGGCCGTGCTACCACTGCAGTGCTGCAGACAATGGCCCAGGCTCTAGTGCCCAATCTCGCCAATGGGACCTGGGCAATGGGCTGAACTGGCCCTTCCAGTGACCAGGGAGGGGCCATCGACACCTGCGTCTGCTTGCTAGTCATGGCTACTGGTGACCTACGACCAGAGATGGGTGATGGTTGTCGGTACCGGGGAGATCGGTACCAGTGCTGGGGGGACCGGAGCCGAGATGGGGAACGCTCCCACTGTGCTGGCGATCAGGACCAACGTTGAGAGGACAATCAACAGGAGGATGACCGGTGCTGGGAATAATATGTGCAGGTGAGTAGTGCCAAGGGGATCTTGACACTGGTCTGGGTGACCGAGGTCGAGTGTTGGACCTGTCCTGGGATCCACAACATGATGGGGAGGATTGTTGCCTCTTCTCCAGTGACTTGTGGTGCTCCCCTGCCCCTTTAGGGATCTTAGTGTCTGTCTTGCCCTCTTGGGGAGCCTGAGCCGAGTCCTGTGGCACCCGAGTCGTTAGTGGTGGAGGTGGAGACCTCTGCGCTCTCTGCACCTTGGAAGACAACGGTGCCAAGGGTGTGGGTCTCATACCGCTCCCAGGAGTCAGTGGCAGACCTTTGAGGGGGCTGGGAGCCCCAACCGGGGGGGCACGGACATGTGGCTCTGGAGTGGCCTGGCAGTTTGGCCCAGGTCCCTTGCTCGACTACCCTTGGGCCTTTTTGCTTGGTGCCAGAAAGCGGTTCTTTGACTTTTTCCTCCGCACTGGTGATGCCGGTAGCAACCAGCTGCCAGCAGTGTGCTGCGCACAGAGGCCGAGGTGCTCAGTGCAACCTGGCAGGCCGGCTTGCAAGCTGGACAAAGTGCGGACTCCATCAGGAGAGCCCTCAAACAGATATCCAATTCCCTCTAGATTCGAGGCCGAAAGTTTTTATAGATCTAGCACCGATCTTTGACGTGTGACTCCCCCAAGCACTTAAAACAGCTGCTATGGTGGGGGGTCACTAACAGGCATAGGCCTATTGCAGTCTGAGCAGGGCTTAAACCTGGGAGACCGAGGCATGCCCCTCCTGGGGTGAAGTCCCTGCTGCAACCCTACTGCTAACTAACAATTACACTTAACAACTACTTAACTAATACTATAAACAAACTATTTACAAAGGCTTCAAAGCATAAAGTTGGTTGAGATAAAAACTGCTAGCCCTTGCCAAGCAGGGAAAGGCGCTCCGACTAATCACCATGGGCGGTAAGAAGGAACTGAAAGGGCGTAGGGCCAGCAGCGCCTGATATACTGCTGCACGAGCACGGCACTCCAGAGGGTGCCACAGCTGACCCTATGGATACAGCTAAGGCAAAAATCTCAGACAACTGCGCAAGTGGGCATGTGCACACCTAGAATGGAATCAACATGAGCAAACGCTCGAAGAAGTGCTGCTACTTATCGGGTGGTAGGAAGGCTTGAAAATCTACAAGATTGGTATAGGAAAGAAAGTCATATTTTGCCAGGATGGCCTGGTAACTGGCACTGCAGAAGTGCAGGCCCACAGAGCAGTAGACCTTATACCCAATAAGACCAAGCTTCTTTGCCGCCTGGTCCGAGGAGGTGGAGCTAAGATGTTGCTGGTGGGCACATTCCATGGTCGCCTGGATCACCAAGGAATTTGGTGGTGGTCTATATGGTTGGCTGGCACACAGTATCTGCCCTTGGATTGTTTTGGGGTCAGGGCACAGGAGTCCAGAGTGTGCCAAACCGCTTGTGCTAGTTCAAGGATGGCATCGTGTATGGGCAAGGCAGTACGGGAAGTTCCAGGGGGCTAAAGAATTTCCAGGAGCTGATCATGGGGTTCCTGTACGTCTTCCACGGGGAGGTTGAGGGCAGCTGCCATGTGGCGGAGAAGGTCCTCATACTGGATGTGGTAATCCGGAGGTGAGAGAGGAGGAGGAATGGGCATGTCATCTGGTGAGAAGAAGCGCCAGTGGGGACCGAGGGAGCCAATGGTGCTGGTGGCACAGAGGGCACCGGAAGAGCAGAAGCGTCGTGTGGATCCTCATAGACAGAGGGATCAATGGGAGGTGGACACGGGTAGTGCTGCAGCCATGACGAGAGTCCACAGAGGCAGTATAGGTCCCAGACAGACCAGTAAGGCCGAGCATACGGGTCACCGGGCATCAGTGGTCCCCGTGGGTAGGCGAGCCATGGATTGGCTGCTGGGTCATAGGAGGGCAGAGAGGGCTGGCTGCAGGGGTCCAAGCTGTAGGAGCGAGCCAGGAAGAAGGCTGGGTCCTGTTCAGAAGACCAGTCTGACTCTGAAGATGGATCTGGCTGAGACAGACCCATCAGTGTGGGGTGGGATGACGCAGGGCAGTCCATGAGCAGGAGAGGTGTTTCATAGCCAAAGATGGAGGACAGAGATTAACCAGTGATCCGGAATGCGGAGGAGAGCCAGCGAGCGGCAGCAGCAGTTCAGCCATCAGTGTCGGGGGGACAAACGTCCCAGTGTGTGCGCGAGACCAGATGGGCAGGCCGGATGGTCCTCGCAGTGTGGACAGTGCCAGAGGTGATGGTGTCGAGATGGAAACCATGGCTAAGGATGGTGCCAATGGAGCACGATGCTTTGATTTATGCTCCGAACACGCAACCCAACCTGGTGCAGCGTGGGGAAGTAACGCTGTATTTAGCAGCAGTCCCTGTTGGGGAGCCGCCCTTGTTCCAGTGGGTGTGCTTCTTATGCACACAATGGGATTTGGGCAGAGGTGGCGGTACCACTGGCGCTGGGTGAGAAGGACTGGGGGAAGCACCCGCTGCCGGTGGGTTCTCTGACAGATCCCCCGTTTCTGGATCCAAAGGGGCACATGGCCACATTGCTTCTTCCATGAGGAACTTCTGGAGGCACAGCTCCTGAGCTTCCTGAGTATGGGGCGGAATTGATCAGCAGATAGAGCAGCAAGCAGTGATATGGACTTTGCCCAAGCAGTAAAGGCAACATTGGTGCTTGTCACTCACAGAGAAGGAGCAAGGGCACGAACCACAGGACTTAAACCAGCTTTGCCTGAAAGAACAAGGAGCAATGGTCTGCAGTGGGGGAGGTCTAGTTGGATGTTAGGAAAAACTATTTCACTAGGAGGGTGGTGAAGCACTGGAATGGGTTACCTAGGGAGGTGGTGGAATCTCCATTCTTAGAGGTTTTTAAGGCCCAGCTTGACAAAGCCCTGGGTGGGATGATTTAGTTGGGGTTGGTCCTGCTTTGAGCAGGGGGTTGGACTAGATGACCTCCTGAGGTCTCTTCCCACTCTAATCTTCTGTGATAGTCCCCAGGCTGAAGAAGAGTCCCACAAAGGGAGGGAAAGTCCAAAACGGTAACAACTAGCAACTATCTGAATGGACAACTAACTACAACTAGAGAAGAAAAAACTATGTACAAGGAAAAAAGGTGAAAAAGGCAGTACTTGTAGCAAGCTAGAAGCACTTAGGAACAGGGGCTCCGATTCTGGCCACGCAGCAGTAAGAGGGAACTGGACCGGCATCGACCCACACGGCCTCTTAAAGCCTCAGATATGTGATGCAGTTGACACACGTGCAGGTCAACGGACACTGGTTCACCTGCGCACCCACATTTGGAATCCACAAAGAAGAAGGAAAGGTTTTCAAATATGTTATGCAAAATTGGAAAGTAAGTATTTGTATTTGTGTAATCTACACACAGTGCATTTTTTTTATCAGAGTAAAATTCACCCCTCCCATCAAAAATCCAGAGTGATCAGACTTTGTGCATTAAGTGGATGACTGGATAGAATTCACACCCATTGACATGCAAGTAATGATGCTACAGCACAGCCTCTCTGTGGCTTTTGTTTCAATTTACTGGCACGAATAATGTCTGCAAAAGATTCAACCCAATGGATCCACATAAATGAAGATCCAGAGTGACCCCTTTCCAATAACCTGCACAGCAAGTTACTGAGCAGCAAGCGAAGACGTAAAACTACAATGCACCAGTTTTCCATGCAGTAACATCCACTAAAGCGCAGTGAAAGTCCCGGAGTGTGGCATGGCATATTACTACTTGAAAACATAGCACACTAAGTAGATTCACATCCTCATTGTACAAAAAGCCGTTAGAGGATTAGGTTAGACCCTCGTGGGGCAAAAGTCTAATACATGACTACTCTGCCAATGTTTCTTTCTCTGTCTGCAGAGGCACTGCAGGTCTTGAGTGGTGTAGAGAGCTGTGCACAGATGCATCAACTTGGATGAAATTCATCCTTAATTTGGGATCTTAATTAAAAAATAATTGAATTAACTTTGTACATGAGCTTTGCAGTGCCCCTTTACTTTTCACTTCCACATCTATAAAATATATAGTGATAAATATAAACATAACTCTAATTATTGATACTCACTTAGAAATTGGATTGACACTGGCTTCAATAATTGTTAAACACTTACAGCACTTTATAGTTTCTGGAAAATCTTGAATCCCTAGAAAGAAAAAAGTTTGAAAGGTATTATAAGGATGTTCTATGAAAAACTGCTAAACTTGCTTTGCTTCTAAATATCTAATTTAGTCAAGTTAGATGTCTAAATCAACAGAGCCTGATGAGATACATCCTAGAATACTTAAGGAACTGGCTCAAGAGATCTCTGGGCACATTAGTGATTATCTTTGAGAACGGGAGAGATACCAGAGGACTGGAAAAGGGCAAATATAGTACCTATTTATAAAAAGGGAAATAAGGACAACCCATGGAATTATAGGCCAGTCAGCTTAACGTTGGTACCAAAATATAATGGAGCAAATAATCAAACAGTTTGTAAGCACCTAGAAGAAAATAAGGTAGTAACAGTCAACACAAATTTGTCAAGAACAGATCATGTCAAACCAACCTAATATCCTTCTTTGACAGTATAACAAGCCTTGTGGATAGTGGGAAGCAGATGATGTGATATATCTCAACTTTAGTAAGGTTTTTGATACCGTCTCACATGACAAACTCGAGAAATATAGTCTAGATCAGTGGTTTTCAACCTGTGGTCCATGGACCTCTGAGGGTCCATAGACTATACCTAAGATTTCCAAAGGGGTCTGGGTACTCCATTTGAAATGTTTTAGGGGTCCACAAATGAGAAAAGTTTGGAAACTACTGGTCTAGATGAACCTACTATAAGGTGGGTGCATAACTGGCTGGAAAACCATACTCAGAGAGTAGTTATCAACAGTTCACAATCAAGCTGGAAGGGCATATCAAGTGGGGTCCTAGAGGGATCTGTCCTGGGTTCAGTTCTATTCAATATCTTCATAAATGATTTGGATAATGGCATAAAGAGTACACTTATAAAGTTTGTGGACGATACTAAGTTGGGAGGAGTGGCAAGCACTTTGTAGGACTACAACTCAAAATGATTTTTACAAACTGGAAAAACGGTCTGAAATAAATAGGATAAAATTCAATACATCAACTACACAACTACAAACCGGGAAATGACTGCCAAGGAAAGAGTACTGGGGTTACGGTGGATCACAAACTAAATATGAGCTAACAATGTAATACTCTTGCAAAAAAAGCGAACATCATTCTGGGATGTATTAGCAAAAGTGCTGAAATCAATTAATGAGAAGTAATTGTTCCACTCTACTCAGCACTTATAAAGCCTCAACTGGAGTATTGTGTCCAGTTCTGGATGCCACACTTCAGGAAAGAAATGAACAAACTGGAGAAAGCCCAGAGGAAAGCAACAAAACTGATTAATGATCTAGAAATCTTGACCTATGAGGAAAGATAGAAAAAAAGTGGTTTCTTTAGTCTGGAAAAGAGAAGACTGGGGGGGGAGGGCCTGATAACAGTCCTCAAGTACATAAAAGGTTGTTATAAACGGGAGGATGATAAACTGTTTTCCTTAACCACTGAGGACAGGACAAGAAGTAATGGGCTTAAATTGCAGCAAGGGAGATTTAGGTTAGAAATTAGAAAAAACCTTCCTATCTGTACAGTTGGTTAAGCACTGGAACAAATTACCTAGGGAGGTTGTGGAGGTTAAGAACAGGTTAAACAAACATTAGTCAGAGATGGTCTAGAATGATAATACAGTATCCTGCCTCAGTACAGGGATTGGACTATATGTCTTGAGGTCCCTTCCAGTCCTACATTTCTATGATTTTATCTTCATCAGAAGTTTTCATTATTAATGTAGAGTACCACTATAAATTCAGGTCAGCATTCAGACATAATAGGTTTTTGTATTTTTTTCATTATTAGTGATCTTTCAGTTGTATATGGCTAACCACCTGGTGCTAAACTTATATTCCTCTAAATCAACTATAGTATTTGGGCAAATTCTTCTGGCGGGTCCACAGGACAGTAGCCAACTTAGGTACCATCATTTGCAAAACTCCCACTGGATCCAATGCTGAGTACCAACAATGTAGGGTTATGACAAGTATTTTGTCTATATTTTGTGACTGTTACAGTTATGATTATAATATCAGAACTGGCAAAATTTTATATATTGCTTAGAAAAATCCTTTTATCCTAGAATTTCAGACAAGAATTCTTCAGTTAATGGTAATTGCAATTGTTATTCAAGAGCTATGTTGTGTCCAGCAAAGAAATGACTAGGCTATCACTTCTATATTGAACAGCCAGGAAGCCATGGTACACACTAAAATGCTTAAGTGGATCTCAATATACAGGACTTAAAGTCTAAGCACTCATCAAGCCTCACTGAAGTACAGCTTCTAACCCTACAAAAAAGATCCCCAGGTATAAAACAGCAGAAAATTATTGTGGCACTCAAAACAGCACCCTGGAACCCCCATATTCACCCCGCCATAGGGATACCGTAGGAAAGGTCATGATCTGCTGAAACCCATTGTTAGGTCAAAATATGTATATTGTTAGTGTGTATGAAGACATGAGATTTTGCTGTATGGTTATTATTGAAATATGTTGTAAGTTTGAGAGTCATCCACTGCCAGTTCTCCAGTGACAACAAAGGAGATGATCCTCTCCCAGTAGGGTGTTAAACAACCATTAATCAGCAGGGGAGTTTTAAACAAGAGATCTACAATGCTGTAAGAGAGCTGCACAAACATCACACAGCACTATGTGACTCAGCAAAGCCCACCAAGACATGTCTGGGGGCTAGTGTTTTCTAGGCACATGGACTGAAGATATAAAATAGGAGACACGGTATCATGCTTTTATCTTTCTCCTCCCTCACTTATGTTGGAAGCAACAAGAAATGCTTGAAAGACAAACACTTGAACTGAGGAGGTTGATCCCAGGCTTAAAGGAGAAGCCTGTGTATTAAGAACTATAACCTGCCTGTAACACCTAGTGGGGTGAGAAAAACTGTTTGATTCAAATACTGCATAGTCTAGTATGATTTAAGATTTAGACTGAGCACTTACCTTTTATTTTCTTTGGTAACTATCTCTAACCTTTTGCGCCTGCCACTTATAATTATTTAAAATCTTTCTCTAGTTAATAAAGCTGTTTTATATTTTACCTAAAACAGTGTGTTTGGTTGAAGTGCCTGGGAAATCTCAGCTCAGTTTACAAAGGCTAGCAGGTGTCCTCTCCACATCGAGGGAGGAGTGGACTTGATAATAAACTTACACTGGTCAGGCTTCTGAAGAGGGCAAGATGGTATATTCCAGGGGTGCAAGGCTGGGGGCTTGGGAGATTTTCTGGTGACTTTCTCTGTGTGATTTGTGAGTGGTTCAGGGAGCATTCACACAATTTAGCTGGGTGTGGGGCTGGTCACCAGCAAAGCATTGTGAAAGACAGCCCAGGCTGGAGAATTAAGAGGGCACAACAGTACCCCAGCTGCAGATTGTACCCCAGGGATCCCGTCACTACTATACCGGACATTTCCTTAAGAGGTTAATTTCACTCCTATTCCATGAAATAACTTTCCCCTAACTAAGCTGATATACATGCAAATTGTGAGAGAAACCAAGAGAGAGAAAGAAATGGCTCCCAATGGTCTATGTAAGTGTAAGAATCAAGCACAGATATCAAAAAAGAAACAACTAATAATTACAAATGTAAGTGTCAGGGTGCATATCAAAGCCTGACTGATTTATTCAATTAAGTTCTATCCATTTTGGTTTAAAAACAACAAAAAGACTAAATGAGAGTGGAACTTAATTCCTTACCCCTTCTCACAATCCATTTACCTTTCTGAGAATTTATTACGAATGCTTACATTAACTACTTGCTTCTCTCCAAAAGAGCATGACTGGAATAAATACAATTTCAACTTGGTAAGTAAGCAAGAAAAATAAATCACAGATAGTTCAAAAACTGAAGAAAATGACAACATAGTTACTTAATTGCACAACCAAATTATGGATTCTAAGAAATCTGTTTGATATATATTGTGTTCTGTGGTCTGAAAAAGTGACATAAGTAGGCCAGGTTTTGTAATATAATTGTTAGTTTTCTCTATTTCTAAATCACTGGAGAGCCAACATGAATGCTGTCTCCTTTCACTTTCAGTATGTTTCTGAATAAAGAATGTAAAATGCCCAATTTTCAACCAGTCTGAGCCAAGCTTTTTTCTTTGCCCACAATTTTATGGGTGCAAAGAGCTGCAAAGAAATTTAGATTACATGGACATTTAAGTAAATGATTCATGAGTTTGCTACTTAGCCATAATTTGCTACTTAGCCACGTAGATGACAAGAACTCTGCTTATGTTTATAATTTGGGTACAAATACAGAAACTAATGTCTCAAAATCCAATTGACTAAAAATCTTACCTAAAGAGTCTATGTATAGCTTACTGTGTTCTTAAAGTGCCAGGACTGTGAAAGACATTTGCAACATCACATCTTGCCATTGTTCTCTATGCAGAACTGCCATTGAAGCCAGTAGGAATTTAACTTTTCCATAAATAGCAGGACATAGCTCAAAAAATTATAATCATGGCAGGTTAGCAGACTTTCAGGTATGGCTACTGGTGTAAATAGAAATGCACAACAACATTACTAGCAGCAAGAACTGCTGATATTTTCTATTCACTGACCCTCCTCCCTGACTGGTTAAAATGTTAGAATATTTTAAGTACTTTATCTGTCTGTATCAGTATGACAACTGTCTGTATTCTAAGTATTGCAAGTCATCAGTTGAAGTTACTTATGTTAATTTTTTTTATTAGACATGACATGGAAACAGCCTCTGGCTGTTTACTCTGTGAACGGAGTGAAATAACCCATGAGGTGACAAACCCAAATGCAAAATCAGCTATAGAGTGCTGACACAAAAAATATTACATCTGAGCATGTCACCCAAGGACTAGGAGATTATTGTCCTATGCTGTTAATGGAAACTAGTAGCTTTGTGCCATTTCCCAGCCACATTCTATTTTTTAAAGTAAAGTCTATACTTAAAATTTAAATGGAAAAAGGTTAATCTTTATTTTGGGGACGAAAAAGCAAAATGTCCATACCTGATATAGTGTGTTAGAATATACTTTACTAGTATTTGGATATTTATCTTCCCCCAGAATAAAAGATAAGATTTATTTTCTACTAACTAGTTCTGCCTTTCATTCCTTTTTGAACTGCTTTTCTTTTCCTACTTGTACTTCCTGTCTTCTCTGGCCTCCTTGTTTATAACTCTAACCTTGTCCTTGGGTAAAATTTTCAAAAGCACCTTAAGACCAGTGATGGAGAATCCACCACAAACTGTGATAAAAATTTGTGCCTTATTTCAAATTTGAATTTGTCTAGATTTAACTTCCAGCCACTGGCTCTTCCTATACCTTTGTCTGACAAATTGAAGAACTTTCTATTACCAAATTTCTGTTTCCCCTGTAGGTTCTTTTAAACTGTAATCACGTCATCCCTTACCCTTCTCTTTGAGCAAGGAAAGTGGACACTGAGGGTTATCTGTCCTGCTATACTCCATGGAGATGAGCAGGGGACCCAGGTGCTGATTTTATTCATTCATTTCATTATCAGTAGTTTAGCCCCATAATCCTGCTTCAGAAGGGAGAAGGAAATTGAAATATTTTCAAAGAAATCTCCAAGCAGCAAGCAATTTCCCTGTTCCCAAAGAGGTGGGATTTGTCTCCCCTCCCCTGCATGGGTTCTCTCTGAGTCTCTCTATGAAGGAATTAGCCTGGGACTCAGGGACAGGTTTCCCAGAAGCTATACCCTCTCTTGCATGTAATCCATATGGGCTAGATAGAGCTGTGTTTCCTTTGGAGGTCTCAGCCTATTACCCCTTTTCGCACTCTCTGGTGTTGGCAATGCCCAGGGTGTGTCCAGTGCCCCTCCATCCATGACCCATGGGGAAGAAGAGTGGGAGACAGAGACTGAGTTCTGTAGTCAGAGGCATGGCTGCTTGTTCAGGCTAGAGAGACTCAGGTGCAATCTTCTATCCGGTGCACTGCCCTTCTAGTTTCACACCTCTCCTGGAGATGGGGGACGGGTGGCTGCTTGCCCCTGGAGCCAGCTCTTTTCCAGTCTTGCCTGGCTCCTGGCCTGTAGGAGGGTGGCACCAATGCAACCCCATTAGGCTTGGGCTTCAAGGGAAGCTTTATCCCTGGCTTTATCTTCACTATATAAAAAAGGAGTATTCTTAACTCAAAATAGCATGTCCTGCTAGCTCGTGCACAAACTATAACCTGCTTTGTCTTCACTAGGATTTTACATCAAGTTACCTAAGTTAAGAATAGGCCTTTTTTTTTGTAGTGAAGACAAGCCCCCTGAAGTCTGCAGGGGCAGCAGCCACTGCAAACACCTCGGGAGGGGAAGTGGAGCCAAGGGGACAATCTCCCCAAAAGGCGAATGCAGCCCTGGGACGTGGCTGGGAGTTTAGACAGAAATTTATAAACCAAATTGTTAGTCAAAAATTTTGAAAAAGTTTGGAATTTTCCTCTGAAAAGCTCTACACCAGAGAGGTCTGGCTGAGCCATGGTCCACTTTGGAGACAGAATAAAATGGAGGGAACTTAATGGGGCAGACTGTCCCCCTGCTGCTAGTGACTGACAGGTTTGCCCCTAAAATGCAAACAGGATGAAGAAACGTATATGTGGACCTTAGCACGATGAATATCTACTCTAGTCACTGTAAGATTCACAAGGAAGCAGGAGTAGGAATCAAAAATATATTTTAAAAACAGTTTTGACCAGAATAAAGTGATTCAGGTGTACAGTGCTAAAGAATAGTTGTCTGGGTTTTGTTTTTGGGATCTTCACCTACACCAATAATGAAAATCTGCTAGAAAAGAATATCCAATTATGTAATATTGATACTTCAGTGAAAAACTGAACATAAACAAATCCATGCTATGGTACTGTCATCCTTAATCACACCATAATTCATGCTGAAACTTGAATATCACTCAAATTGTTTTAATTCCAACATTCAGATTCATTGTTGACTTGCTAAATGGTTAAACTATTTGTCACGTGATTTTATTTATTTTTAAATCTCACTTTATCTGCTACTGTATATTGTGCATTGGGAACATATTAATCCTTATAAAACATAAAATGAATTTCAGGTTGTATAGCTATTTTACGTTATCAAGGCCAAATTCTGGCAGGCATTGCATACAGATGTATACTGGAGGATGGGGATGAAATCTTTACTGACCACAGTGAAATGTCAGAGAGCCCACTAAAAGGAGTGGAACTACTTTGGCTGTTAACAGAAAGCAAAATTTAGTTAATTTGTTTTAGAGTTTTCCAGAAGAGTAATTTTTCATTCATTTAGCATTAAAATCTTATTACAGCAACACTATACAAAATGTTCAAAAATTTCAACACAAAATTTCACATTATTTTACTGTTGTGTTCTTACCATTTTTACTGATGTCAAGTTCCTTGAGATTAACTAAATTAGCAATAGTGGTTGGCAGGCTTGAAAGGTCGTTGTCTGGTATACTCAGTTTACGTAGAGCTTGACAGTTGAACAATTGCTACAACATGAAAAAGAACAACTGCAATTAACATGTTTTAGTAAAATTCAGTTTAGCATTGTTATTTACACACAGATGGAAAAATAACTGTATCATAAAAATACTTTTGTTATTTTTAGCCTATTATTTTGCTGTCCTCAATCAATCTATATTAAAACTGTTTGGGAATACATACTTACATATTACATTACACTTTAAACAAGGAAGATTACTCAGAGATAAATGTGCTGCTTACAAATAATTCCTAATGAAATATAGTTTTAAGATGGACCTTTATAAGTTTATGATTGCGATTATATGATGGGGTTGCTCATGATAGCAGGGGACTGGTCTTGATGATCCAGGAGGTCCCTTGCAGTCCTACAATTTTATATCAATAATAGAGCTATTTGAAAATTTTTCAGCAGAACTTTTTTCCATCAGAAAATGCAAATTCTTCAAAATTCAAAATCAAAAATGTTTCATGTGAATGTGTCAATGTTGCTGAAATTTTTGATGGGCAAAAGATGAAATATTCGTTTCAATTTTCTCAGTGTATTTCAATAATGCCAATAAGGTAAAATGTTTCATTACAACTTTATATTTCAATTAAATTTGCTTCAATTTTCATATTACATTAAAATATTCATTTTAATATATTAAATTTTTCATAATTTTCACTCCATAGGAAATTTTGAAATTTCTGCTTTTTGTTCCAATTCAAAACAATTTTTTTCCAAGTGTTGGAATTTCCAATGGAACAAAATCTCATTTTCTGACTAGCTCTAATCAATATATCATATGGTAAGCATTTATACTGCTGCTCTTCCATGTAATAGCAGTTGTTATCCAACTAGAGCAACTTCAAACCCAAGATAAATACTAAAGTAATGGAGACAATACCATACTGAGCAAGAGAAGTCTCTAGGGCTAGAATGTGACATTTAGACACAGTGCATTGTAAGGGGCAAGTACAAAGCTTTTTTATGAGGAGGAAGCCTGCTCTCCATCACTCACTCAATCCATTCCGCAAGCTGGTGCAGGTGTGGGGGTGAAGCCGTGGCACACCCTCCTCCCTTGTGGTGGTGTGTCTCCCCCCATGGATGCATGCAGGGAACAGTCCACATGCTCTCCAAACACAGGGACTGTGGGCTCCTATTAGTGTAGAGGACATATAATGGAAAAATAGACTGGAAGAGGGGAGGACAGGGAAACTCAGTCCATGGTTGGCTGACCTGACTATTAAAAAACTGATGTCACCAGGAGCACCACCCTGCATGCATCTGGCTTCAGGAATCTGCGAAGTGACCTCTCCCCTAGCCACCTATCATACAGACTGCATATATCTTGCAATGCATAGGTGCTTAACCCCAACCCCTCATTTCTGTACTGCAGATTTTTAAGCTGTTACCTTGTAAAAATGAGTTTGTTATTACTAGTCACATTAATATAATTAGAAAACAAGTTTACCCAGTGGTCTTTGAATGAGTCTATGGATTCCAAAAAGAGCTTACTCTCCTTTGGAAGAATCTTCATGACTCTTCAGAAGTTAATAGTATTTTCAAAACAGCTTTGATATCTCTTTTTTGCAAAGTTGCATATCCAAATGACGTTTAAATTTGTACCCAAACGTCTATTTAAGAATGTAGCTTGATTTGATTACCAAACTGAGCAAATAAAGAAAGCTGGGTAGCAGGGAATTAACTCACAAATGATGCTCAAAAGCTAATATGAACTAGATAAGTCATTTAAAGTAAATTTTAGCTCATTTTCAGGCTTTCACTTTTTTTGAAAACACTATAACTTTACATCTGAGACTTTTAATAACAAGAACCCTCTGTGTTGCTTTTCAAGGCAGTATACTTTCTCCAAAACTGGAAGTCCAAAACCAGCTTTAACCAAATGGGAATCACATGAATAGAATATAGGCAGAATAAAACGTATGGGATAATGACCACCACGAATTTCTAACAAATAGGAGTGGTTTTTTTAACTGAAAGAATTCCTCTAGACTTCCTCTATGCATTGACAGACTTTTGCTGTTAAACCTTCTCTTTTCCTTTCAAAAAAGGCATTATAATAAGAATTGCTTTTATGTTAAATACAAAAATATACTAGGGCTGTCAAGTGATTAAAAAAATTAATCGCAATTAACCGCACTGTTAAATAATAGAATACCATTTATTTAAATATTTTTGGATGTTTTCTACATTTTCAAATATATTGATTTCTATTACAACAAAGTGCAAAGTACTCACTTTATATTTATTTTTTATTATAAATATTAGCACTGTAAAAAACAAAAGAAATAATATTTTTCAATTCATCTAATACAAGTACTGTAGTGCAATCTCTTTATTATGGAAGTTGAACTTACAAATGAAGAATTATATACCAAAAAACAAAAACCTGCATTCAAAAATAAAACAATGTAAAACTTTAAAGCCTACAAGTCCATTTAGTCCTACTTCAGCCGATCACTCAGACAAACAAGTCTGGTTACAATTTGCAGGAGATAATGCTACTTGCTTCTTGTTTACAATGTCACCTGAAAGTGAGAACAGGAGTTTGCATGGCCCTTGTGTAGCCGGCAACGCAAGATATTACATGCCAGATGCATTAAAGATTCATATGTCCCCTCATACTTCAACCACCATTCCAAAGGACATGCGTCCATGCAAATGACGGGTTCTGCTAGGTAACGATCCAAAGCAGTTCAGACCGACTCATGTTCATTTTCATCATCTGAGTCAGATGCCACCAGCAGAAGGTTGATTTTCTTTTTTGGTGGTTTGGGTTCTGTAGTTTCTGCATCGGAGTGTTGCTCTTTTAAGACTTCTGAAAGCATGCTCCACATCTCGTCCCTCTCAGATTTTGGATGGCACTTCAGATTCTTAAACCATGGGTCGAGTGCTGTAGCTATTTTTAGAAATCGCACATTGGTACACCTCTACCCCGATATAATGCAACCTGATATAACACAAATTTGGATATAACGCGGTAAAGCAGTGCTCTGGGGGGGAGGGGGGGCGGGGCTACTCACTCCAGTGGATCAAAGCGGTTTTACCTATAACACGGTAAGATTTTTAGGACAGCGTTATATGGAGGTAGAGGTGTACCTTCTTTGCATTTTGTCAAATCTGCTGTGAAAGTGTTATTAAAACGAACATGTGTTGGGTCATCATTCAAGACTGCTATAACATGAAATATATGGCAGAATGTGGGTAAAACAGAACAGGAGACATACAATTCTCCCCCAAGGACTTCAGTCACAAATTTAATTAATGCATTATTTTTTTAACAAGCGTCATCAGCATGGAAGCATGTCCTCTGGAATGGTGGCCAAAGCATGAAGGGGCATACAAATGTTTAGCATATCTGGCACCTAAATACATTGCAACACCAGCTACAAAAGTGCCAAGCGAACGCCTGTTCTCACTTTCAGGAGACACTGTAAATAAGAAGCAGGCAGCAGCATCTCCCGTAAATGTAAACAAACTTGTTTGTCTTAGCGATTGGTTGAACAAGAAGTAGGACTGAGTGGACTTGTAGGCACTAAAGTTTTGCATTATTTTGTTTTTGAGTTCAGTTATGTAACAACAACAAAAATCTACATTTGTAAAAATCTACACTTTCACGATAGAGATTGCCCTATAGTACTTGTCTGAGGTGAATAGAAAAATACTATTTATTTTGTTTATCATTTTTACAGTGCAAATATTTGTAATAAAAATAATATAAAGTGAGCACTGTGCACTTTGTAGTCTGTGTTGTAATAGAAATATTTGAAATGTAGAAAAACATCCAAAAATATTTAGTAAATTTCAATTGGTATTCTATTGTTTAACAAAAAGAACAGGAGTACTTGTGGCACCTTAGAGACTAACAAATTTATTAGAGCATAAGCTTTCGTGGACTACAGCCCACTTCTTCGTCTCTAAGGTGCCACAAGTACTCCTGTTCTTTTTGCGGATACAGACTAACACGGCTGCTGCTCTGAAACCTATTGTTTAACAGTGCAATTAATCACGATTAATTTTTTTGAGTTAATCGCTTGAGGTAACTGTGATTAATCGACAGCCCTATATCATACACATGTAGAGGGACATTTTCATTACAAAATTAAGAAAACTTACACTTCTAAAAAAAATATTGCAGAGCTGGGGTTTAGGACACTTACTCTTTACCCCTGCTCCCAAACCTATTTGTGCAATTCTGCTGTCTAGACATTGGTACAAAAAGGAAACTGCTCTCAGGAGAACAGTGTATTTCTTAATAACACTATGTACAAAAACACTCTCTTTTAGAATGCAGATAACAATCAGCATCACAACATTCTCTGTTTTCAAGAACTGCAGCACTTCTAAAGAGGACTATGAAGCCACATAAATATAGATACCATATGGACCGTAGCTACAATTTCTAGCCACTAGAGGACTTCATTACTTCAACACTAATACAACAGTAAGCTATGGTATTTTCACTAAATCAGAGAAATGTAGGGCTGGAAGGGACCTCATTGAGAAGTCATCAAGTCCTGCCCTTTGCACTGAGGCAGGACCAAGTAAATCTAGACCATCTCTGCCAGGTGTTTGTCTACCTGTTCTTAAAAACCTCCAATGATGGGGATTCGTAACCTCCCTTGGAAGCCTATTTCTAACTACCCTTTTAGTTAGAAAGCTTTTCCTAATATCTAACCTAATCTTCCTTACTACAGATTAAGTCCCTTACTTCTTGTCCTAACTTCTGTGGACATGGAGAACAATTGATCACTGTCCTCTTTATAACACCTCTTCACATATATGAAGACTATCAGGTCTCCCCAAAGTCTTCTTTTCTCAAGACTAAACATGCCATACCTCATAGATTAGGGTTTTAACCTTACCTCATAGATTAGGGTTTTCTAAGCCTTTTATCACCTTTTGTCACTCTCTTCTGGACTCTCTCCAATTTGTCTACATCTTTCCTAAAGTGTGGCACCCAGAATTGAACAATACTCCAGCTGAGGCCTCATCACTGCC